GGTTCAACAAGGAAATGAGAACAGAACCAGCTAGAGGTTAGTTTTTGTATAAGCTATTTATAAAACTGTTTCTGTAGCTTCAGAAGTAACAGATTTGGGTACTTCCATAAATGGGAATGAGATAGGAAAGATTTCATATCTGAATTCTACAGCGATTCTACAAAACCTGTGTTTTAGCAGTTGTGACTTCTTTGCTGATAATTTATAAGACACAGCACACCATAGGAACCCAGGCCAGCCCCTCTCTGCAGCACAGTCAGGCTGTGCTGGAACCTGACATCTAGAAAAGAAAGCTCAGTAGTCCACATAAACTATGGAGCCCATAATTTTCACCTCTTTCTAAAACAAAGTTAATAGCAGAAGTTAGGAAGATAAACTATACCTATCTGTGTGTGTGTTTTACTGTTCTATTTCTTTTTAGTAGTTATTGTCTGTGTGAAATTACATATTTATGTTCCTTTATGTTCATTGTAAAGTTAAGAAATGGCAGACAGTGTGATAAATTCTTTGTTATCTTGTGGCTATTTCACTGTAAATTAGTAGCTCAGAGCAGCAAAAATAAAATTTTCTCACATAGAATAAACTTTTAGCATTTCTGGTTTCAAAAACATCTGAAATAATGTTGTAAAAAATTCTGGATATATATGATCATCCATTTTATTTTCAGCGAAAAAACTGTCTCAGCAGAAATCCCACCAAATTTACTATGTTATCCCATACTCATTTACTTTAAATTCTTCTGCCTTTGTTTTTAATTTTAGCATTATCTTACAGATTGAATATTGTTACAATTGTGTTCCCACTTGCTGAAATAATAATTGAACTTTAATATCAATTTGCTCATTCCTTTTTTAGGTCACATCCAGCCATTCAGAGAACTACTAAATTTTCTGCATGTTTTACTGAGAGCTTTTTTCCTAGGTTCCATCCAACCATCTACTAAAACATTTGCATGTTTCATCCTTGTATTTTTCCAGGTTTCACTTATCCATTCATCTCTCTACTAAAACTTCCATTGCTGTATGTATGTACTTCATTTACCATTTCCAAAGTGCCAAGTCCCCTCGATGGGACTGCTGAATACTCTTTGAAAAATCAGATAGGTAATTGAAGGCAACTAAATTTTAAACTCTTAGTCTCAGAAGGCTTAAACTGCACTCAGTAATTTCAGCATAAATCAAAATTATTCAGCCAGTAGACTGGGTTACTCTGTATTTATTTATGTACCATGAAGACAAAGGTTCACTCTTTGTGGTGTTTATCTGCCTCCTGCCTTAGCCCTGAACACTTGCTCCAGTGCACAGTAGCACAGGTAAATGTTAAGGCACCCTGAAGTCACCTGCAGCTGCAAATCAGCGTCTCTCCCCTGTTCACCACTCTGCCTATATACGCCTGCCGTATCTCTCATGCCAGCTCCCGTGGTCGTCAGTGAGTGACAGCAGGGAACAACAACCAAGAAATATTAGTTAGTTTACCGGCTCTGTTAGCTGATCAAATCAAGTTTGAGATGCTGCTCCAGTGGAGTCAGTTCCAAAATTCTCCTGTTTGGTTCTGTAGCACCAGGCTTTTGACGTTGACACATGGCTTTCAAGTCTTCTTTTAAACAGCTAAAAAATAGAAAAGTAAAATATTAGATTAATGTGATTTTGCCACTTCTGCAAAACATCAAGTTTATCAACAATGTGACTGATGGCAGAATAGCAGCTTCCAATTTTGTGTGGTAGATTTCAAATCAAGGGAAAGTAGAAGGTCTAAAATGCTTGATAACAGCAGTTCATATATAAATCAGCAGTTACTATTTATATTTTTGACAGATTTTTCTGTCAGTTGTGTCAGCAGTCAGAAATTTTAATACTGAGGTTACACTAACTGTGAGTATAAAAATATTTTACAAGCTACTTCTGCGATATGGAGTGTTCTTTCCTCCTGCAATGCTCAACTCCTGATAGAGCTCCAAGAGCCTCAGTTAATGTGATCATTTAGATACAAGGAAATAAACGTAAATAATCTATTTGTTAATGAAAATGTGCCATAGACGAATAGAAGCCAAAGAACAGAAATCTCTATAGAGTAACACATCCTATCGACCTACCATCAAATGAATGAAGTGATTTCTTCATACCAAGCTCTTACAAAACAGATTGCTAAATATATTCCATTAAAAGTTTACTTGCGGAAGATAAGGACAGTGAACGAGTGATCATAGGTCGACCACCAGGTCTGGTATTTTCATTATTTTTATTATCTTTAAATAGAATTTATTGCTAACATAAACAATTGTTCATCACAGAAAGCAAATTGGTTATAGCTGTTGAACCATTTTTAATATTTTTTCTATAATTGGCTCATTTCGTCCTAGAAGCCTGAAATATAAAGAGTGATGGATTGATAATTACCCTTTGTCAAAACAATCCTACTGGCTTGTATTGTTTTCATACTTCTTCCATTTACAGCACATTCTATTGTGCTTTCATTTTGATACTTCTGAAATGTTTGTTTTAATTTGTTTGTGTTTAATGTTCACATTTTGTTTGAAAAACAATAGATTACCCTGGAGAAACCCTAGCAATCCCTCTGCAAAACACCTTTTTGTTGTTTTAGTTTTTCAAATGTTTAAAGAAAATAGAAGTCAAATAGAGTGGTCCTTTAATAATGTGATTATCATACATCATCATGTAGGATGCATCATATCAAATGTTTTATGCTGATTGAACTTAATTATTTTTTGCTGGCCAGAGAGAATATTCTGTACCTCTTCAAGCCATCATCAACCACAATGGTGACATTATTGACAAAAAGAGCTGAAAGTACGCTTTATACTTTCATGAAATATGGAGAAAGATTTGCAGTGGAATTACTTAGCCTTGCATTCATTTAGTTGCTAGCACAATATGTCAAAACATCTATCATGACTTTATCACTACTGTGCTTTCACTGAAAATCAACATCTTCAATGTCTGCTTATGCCATTGGATGATGCAGGTGGTGAGAACTCTTCCACTAAATGAATTCTTTTTTTTTTTTTTGCTATGAATAAGAAATCATATTTGTAAGATAACACATTAATCCTTCATGTGTAGGCCTACCTTTTACAACTGACATCCTCCTCTCGAGGGATTTTTAAAAAGAAGTTTGTTGAATTATTAAAAAGGAATGAGTAAAATGTTACAGCTAAGTAGTTAAATTCTATTAACAGACTTTAAATTAGCCTTCAGTGGTTAAGCAAGCACAAAAAATTAATATGACCAATATAAAATCTAGTTGCATTTTTGTAAATATGTGGTTTTGTCATAGTTATTACATTTCTCCTTGAAAAAATATACGCAAATTATAACTTTAAGGTCAAAATCAAAGGATAACTTCAGAGTTAAAATTTGATTCTGGAACCCCAAATCTAAAATCTGGGAAAAAAAAAAAAAAAAAAAAAAAAAGAGAAAAAAAAAAAAAAAAAAAAAAAAAAAAGAGAAGAAACCAGTTTAAAAATGTGGGTTAATATTTTTCCAAGGCTGTTCTTGTTCAACTCTCTTTTCCTCCACTTTGAAATGTTCTCCAGATGACTTTCTGATACCGTATAAAAGCCATGTTATCTTTACATTACATGTGTATTAAATCCTAAATATATCTAGTTTACTCTAGCATTTCAAATGCTACATTGGTAATTTTAATATTATTTTTTACTATTAGGCTTTTAAGACACTAAGACTTTTTGCATATATTTATCAGAAACTGATATCTCTGAGGTTTCTAGTCAACATCCAAAATTCAAAGAGATGTAGGAGACTCTTGTAAAGATAGTCTTTACCTTATTCTGGTTTTCTAATAATCATGATTACAGTATTTCATGCCAGTTTCATGTTTTTTCAGGCTTTTGATTTATATAAATATATACCTCAATGTACTCTATGAGATTAAAAATTTCAAAATACCTCTATAACAATTGCTTGTAGTGATTTAATACATGATGATGGTCAAATTTTAGTGTGATTAAAAGGAAAATGCAGTGTGATGATGATAGTTCTGTTCTGTCCTTATTTTAAATTATTCTCCTATAACACAGGATAAAATGAGTTGTTTATTCCTTGCATTTTAAACTAATATTCTAATACATAAATTAAAAAGTAATTAAAGGGGACTATTTTTAACTGTTGCATATCTTGATTTAATGATGCTGAATGCATATATGGTGCACATTTTAATTGCAGACGTGGTCATCAGAGAAATGGCATCTTCCTCAGGTCAGATATGTGATTGACCTTGATTTCATTGTGGCTTTTTTGTATTTACTGTGGATTACATCTCTAACAAACAGAACCACTCAGCAGCTTTCATATAAACTCATGATTTAATAATAGATCACAGTCCACATCTCATTTTTCTTTTACTTGCTTGAAACATTAAGGTTTACCATTTCAGCTACTGAATTACACAAAGCTTTCTCCATCAGTTTGAAGCTTCCATTGTGAATGCTCCTGACTATTATGATTTCTTTCCCTTTCTTTTGCAGGTTTTACATTTTCATGTAATTGTTTAAAAGCAGATGATCGTCTGTGCTTTCGGTTTCTTTATGTACTTTTTTATTTGTATTTTTTTTCACAGATGAAGATGACACTTCAGTTAGTACTCCACCAGCAGGTTAGGACTGCGATAGTGCTTTGTGTGTGTATGTATGTATGTATTTTTCTCTTGACTATTAATGAAGAGAGAGTCCAAACCATTGGACTGAACTCAAAACATACTAATTAGAGAAAAAAATTTATGAAGTGCCCTACATTAAATTGATCTCTGTTCAGAAGTACAAGACCTTCATACTAGATAAGTTCCTTTCCAGACCTGTCTTGAGGTCTTTGGTAGAACTTCTGCCATTGGAAGGTAAAATATCGGTTAGCAGCTCTGAAAGCAACTCCCCTTATTTTTTCCTATCAACAAATATAGACTGCATTTTTAAGGTTAATTTTGAAAGCAAATTCCAGAATTACAAATAAAACAGATGCATTATGAATTCAAAACAGGTTTTTCCACATAATTGTCAATCACCTCTAGCAATCCCTCTGCAACTACACAGTAGTAGTAGTAGTAGTAGTAGTAGTGAATGTGCTGCTCCAAGCCATTGCTGTCAAGCTGGCAGATAAAATGCCTTTGGTTGTTGGCAGTAAAAAAAAACTAACAGCACATGGGTCCATCATGATAGAGGTGACATGGGTAAAATTTCCCCATTGCTTGCTTAATAATTTTTTTTAAAATAAACTGTGAATGAAACGGAGATTTTGAATGCTAGAAAACGCTTTGCAGTATGTCAAATGAGAAACATCCTCTTAATTATCTTCACTGCCTTAAATGATCATATTTTCTTGATTTCTCCTGAAAGAATTTGCATTATTAACTTTGGGCTGAATGCTATCTGTAAAGTCAGCAGCAGTATATTGATTTACAGTAGTAGAGGACCTCGTTGGTAAAAGCTAAATATATAAATAAAACTGTAAATCACAAAACTCTAAAATTTAATTTTAACAATTTATCGTTATTTTGCTCAACCTAGATAAATAAATAGACTATTTAAATAATTCCAAGTACTGTCCCTTCAGACAAATATTGAACAACATAAATTGATCTGTTATCTGGAACTACACAAATCATGAAGAAAATATCAGCTTCACAGAATCCTTCTAAATATGAACTACTAAAAAGGAAATCTTGAATAGGAATTAAACTAAACTAATTTAGATTTTCTAGAGAAAAGGGGGAACTATTTCTGATTTTTTTTTTTCTCAGCTGTTCACTTCCTTTTTCTGGTATTCTGTAGCTCCTCATGGGTATGGTCCTAAATAACTAGTCTAATCTTCTTGCATGAAGAATCAGTGTTCTTAAAATCCCAATGATCTGAGGTCAGTTAAGCTGTGATCTCTGAGCTGGTGTTATCTAAATTGCTCTTCCCTTTCAGATGGGATGTCTAAGCCAGCGGAAAGAAAAGATTCAGGTGAGACCTCCTGAAAAACATGATGAAACGCTCCAAAATTTACAGAATACAATTATTGTTAACACTTTATTTCTTAAAGATAATGTTCAGGTTTATTTTCATTGTTTATACAGTATCAAACTACAACTTTTGAAATGCTTTTAAGTATCAGCGCAAACAGGTTTCTAGCAGCTAAACCAGCAGTGAGAGAAGGTGCTGCTGCACAAGACAGGACATGTACCAGTATTTTACACATACATACATACCTATCTATCTATATCTATTTCTATATGGATAGATACACAGCCATTCCCTTCCTCCTCAGCCTACAGGGTGACAGTGGCTTACCTGAATCACACACACAGACCCCAGGAGACTGTAGGAGAATGGCTTCTTCTCACAGCTCAAAGGACGGTGGGGAAAACTTAGCAAAGTCATAACCTCTTTCTTCCTACCCTGGCAGGTAACACATACTACACCCACTTTTGTGGTTTCAGGATTTGCAGCCTGTGGAACAAAATGAGCAGCAGGTACTTCAACCATGGTTATTGACCTGGCATAGCCGCCTATGCCAGCCCCCTGAGCCAACGTCAAACCCACGTTTTGTCCTGTTTGTTTAATAAATTTGAAAACATTAATAGCTAAAGGTGATGATAATATTTAGGCATTATTTTATGTGGTACCTAATTAATGACTCTATGTAAGCTTCTTCCATTTATTAATATCCTTTTTCCATTTCAACCTGTGGTGTGTTAGGTTTGTTACTGCACGTGACCAGGTCCTGTACCGAGCATTGTCACATCATTCTGTCCACACCAGTAACTATCACTTGTTCTTACGTTGTTTCCATACACTAGCATGTTATATTGGCATAATCTAAACATCTAGATTAGACAGATAGTATATATAGATGAGTATCTATATATATTTGTGTTCATGTATGTCTGTGTATATGTTTTCATATATGTGTATATACATGTGCGTATATACATGAATGTCTTCACGTGTAAGAAATATTGTACAAGCAGACGTATACAGAGGTGTTGGGCACACCACCCATAATTCAGTGAAAGACTGAAAGGCAAAGATTTTATAGCAAAGCTAGCTAGCATTTCTATACATTTAAAAATTCCTAATAGACTTTAGGATAATAAAAACAGTTTGGTTGCATTTTCCCATGCTTGTCATGAGTTGTGTTGCATTCATGAGCGATGGAAATTTTCATGAGTTAAAAAGGTTCCTGTAGCAGTTATCTCTACATACTAGGAAGACGGTTCTGACTTCTGGCAAATAAGTTTCTACACAAAATACTGAGCAGGGAAAGGAACTTTTAATTTCAAGACCAGGGTTTGACTAAGTGAGAAGTGTTATGTGACTGGTTCCTCATTTATGCTAGTTGTGAAAACAAAACCAAAAGAGCATTGGATAAGCTTAAAAAAGCTACCTTCACTTCTGAAACAACTAGAAGTTCAAGGGGAACAAGGGAGATGCAGCTCTGGTTTGAAACAGACAGATTACTTTGTTAATCGTAGCTGTACATTTCCATATTTGCTCTGCTCTTCGGTACTACCATGGCAGCACTGCTTTTACTCAGTTTCCCCTATGCACTGGCGATAATTCCTCAAAAAAAGATGTGGCATTTCGACTCCACAAGTTCTCACTTGGAATATGAGGCACATGCTTTGCCTCTCTGCAAAAAGACAGTAGGTGATGGACAGATGTTCACCGCGTTGCTCTCCTTGCCTTTTTTTGTAAGGAATCAGATTTGACCATGGTTTTGCATGTATTTACCCAAGATATAACTGCATAGCACAAAGCCAGGGGCTGTTCAGGTGAGCAGAAAGACCAGAAATGCACAGCTGTGCTGGTAGAGTTCTCTGCCCTGGGGAGACCACTCACTTGATGCTTCTCTCAGTACTGTTGTTCCTTTTCAGTTCCAAAATTCCAGTTTCCAGGTGAGAAGATGCTGTGTCTGAACGTATAACACAATCATTTCCATTTGACAAACTATTTTTCTGTAAAATATCAGCCGATACACATGGCAGGACATGGTAGTGACTGATCCCCAAACTCTCTGCTTCTGTGATGGTAGAAGATAACAAAGTTCAAAAGTAAGCTTTATCCCTGCCCTGTTTTGCAGACAAAGAGGAAAAATTAGCTTGTACAATTGACTGAGTTTGGGCTTGAGGGATACCCACCAAAACTATGCATCATACGTGTTTTGTTTGTGCTTGTAGCTGTTTGTGTTTTCAGAACCTCCATCTCTTCTGAAAAACAAAGAGCTGACCTTTGTGCATTGCCTCTGTAAAGCACTCATGGTTGAATGCTGGTGCCATTCGAGTTGCTCAGTACCCGTCTTGGCTGATCAGGCTCCCCTCTCTTCCTCCCTGATAGTTTCATTTTCTGTCACCACAGAGGTAGCGTTCTTGCAGCAACTGTACACAATGTGACAGCCAAGCAGTGGATGTCAATATGAACAAAAACTTACATATCGTTCAGGACATCTGAAGAGAGAGGTAATAGGGTTAGAAAGTTTAGTAAGTTCAGGTAAGTGTATTTTTGAGAGAGTAGAACACACTCAGATGATTGACATTTCCCTCTCTCTCTGCATCTCAGTATGGTCTGTTGGAGAAGGAGCTCCAGAAGAGACAGAAAAACACGATGATTCCCAAAGATCCACTTTATTCATCGAATTTTTTTTGAGCGTTGGTAAGTGCTTAGAAACAAAACCAAAAGCCACTCCCAAAGACTGAGGCAGAGCCAGGAAAGGTAGGTGCAGTTCCTGTGACACTCAGCTTCTGCCCTCAGCTGCAAGTACATCCACTGATTTTAGCTGGATGTGAACGCCACTCTTCGACAGCAAAAAAGACTGTACAAAGAGAAGCAAAAACCAATTGTTTAATCCAAGACGAGCTAAAAATCTAATAATTTACTGAGCACAATGGGTAAGAGGATAGTTTCTGGGAAAAGAGCTGGGTACTGTGATCCTGTTGGCTGTACTGTTATTCATATGTCAGGAAGATTTACCCAAAGGCCTGTAGCATAGCTTAGAGATTGCTGGGTCAACTTTTGTACCTTACACCTGTGTGTAAATTAGCAAGTAGACTAATAGTAACAGCTCTGTAGGGAAGCTGGTAGGGTCACCCCCACCGTAACCATTTGCTCTGGACTAGCTCTGGTTTAGTCCAGTGGCCAATATACCTATTAGCAGTTGGAGCACCGGTGATAAACTCTCAGGGCATATCTTTGGCTTTAATTTCACCCCAGAGGAATCCAGTTCAAGCATGGTGAGGATTTTCTGTGTTGTGAACCAGAGCACAGTAAATGGGGACAGTTAGAAGATTCACTTCCAAACTGCACTCCTGAGCCATACTGTCATGGTAAGGTAGCTGCACCCTAAGCGGGGTAGCAGCCATGGTGAGAAGTTCAGTACAGGCTACTTAAGATGTCTGTTGTGTACTTGGATACACTAAGATGTGGTCAGATGGGGTTTTTTTATGCACGCCTATTATTTTTCTCGGTTTCTGAGTAGAAAAAGAGCATTTTGGGAGGATTTATTTGGAAAATAAATACAATAAGTTAGCTGTATTCTCCTCTGGAGCCCATGAATGTTAGGATGGAAACCCAGCAGGGGCTGGGCAGTGCTGTTCTGAAAATTGAGCTAACTTTCACTATTCCCAAATTATTGTTTAGAGAAGACTCCCTTCTCAGCTTAAAGAATTAATGATAGCAATGCATTAAGAGCTCCAGGCTTTCTTTTCCAGACTGGAGTTTATTCATGTTACAACTGCCTGGTAGCCTAGGAACACCTGAGCTTATTTTAAGCAAGGAAATTCAAATATTGGGAATAATTCACCCATGACAACATGGAGTTTTGCCTCCACTAATTTATCCTGCTTCCCAGTGTCTCAAGCTCCACATTGATATGGGCAGAAGGCTTCCAGACCCAAAATCATTACTCTCTGTAACACTGCAACACTTTCATAGCCTGTGTGACTCCATCTGATCGTTAGTGTCATGCTGTCATGCTAGTGCATGGAGACTGGAAGGACCAGTAGTAGAAGAAACTTGTACAGATGTGACTGATCAACCGCATGTTCCTCAATGACTGCATTACTCTTTTCTCTTTTTAAAAGGTGGGAATATTACATTTATAGCCAAAGTAGAAGCCAAAGATCTTCTCCGAAAGCCAAATGTTAAGTGGTTTAAAGGAAAATGGATGGACCTGGCCAGCAAAGCGGGGAAGCACCTGCAGCTGAAAGAGTCCTTTGAGCGTCACACTAAGGTGTGTCTTTGCTTTTTTTTTTCTTACGGAGGCAAAGCTCCAAAGAGAGCTTAAAGATCAATTTAAGACAACAAGTAGAAATTAAAGAGCAGTGGATTCTAACCCTGGCTTCCAGATTTCAGTGATGATCTCTGACCCTGTGCAGAAGCAGACTTTTCTGGTCTCCCAGGGCCAGACAAGCAGTGGTGGGGAAATCAAAGTTTTCTGTTGCCATATCTGCGTCCCAGTTTCTTTCCAGAGCCCTTTATTTGAGTTATTCCTTGCTCCTGGTTTAGGTCTGAAAGATTAATCTTTTAACTTCTGCTTTGTGCAAATGTATCCCCCACATTAATAAACAATTATGTTTGATTTTTAGATTCACACATTTGAGATGCATATCATTCAAGCTAAGGAAAACTATGCAGGGAACTATCGCTGTGAAGTGTCGTATAAGGACAAGTTTGATAGTTGTTCTTTTGACCTTGAAGTCACTGGTAAGATTCCATTTGTATCTGTAAAGCTTCATAAAGATTTCTCTTTTTTTAAACTGAACTGCCACCTGATTTTGTTCAGAACCTTTAAGTGAAGTAATGTTTAAAGTGAACATTTTTAGCATAGAGCCCAGAGAATTTTCTTAAATGTCTGTAATTTATTGTTTAAATGAACATTGAGATAGATAGCATGTGAGATATTTATCCAAAAATTAGAAAAGCTGGCAGATAAAACCAGCATTGAATTCAAATCAGGCTCTGGCACACAAGACAGAAAGCGAGGCTTAGGGCTATTTACCATGAGGCTTCAGCTGGCGGCGTGTGAGCAGAGGGACGTGGAGGGTTCACGGCTCACCAATGTTTTGTACCCTGACCAGGAGGGGGATGGTCATACTCCAGAAAGCTATTTCTTCCACTCTTCATCAAAATAAAGAATAGCACAATGTGGAGAGCCCTGGAGAGTCGTGCCTTTGTCTACTTTTATGTTATAAAAGGCCTTACTCTGGCAAATGTTAACCCACAGGCTTATCTTGTCTTTCGAGAGCAGTTCTGCGAGCACAACAGTGCACACATGCCTGCACAATCAGACTAAGAAAGACGAATATCTTCCAAAATGCCAGGGCCAGCAGCCAGTGGACAAAACAGTTATTCATCCTTATAAGGCACACCTATGAAATGGTCTAGACCGGACTGTTTGTTCACCAGTCAGGGGAAGCCAGTCACAGTTAAGGGGACATTTGACGGCTGACTGACAACCCAAGGGGCATAGGTAGGTGCATGTATTCAGAGGTCAGCGAGGCAGCGGCCAGCCTGTCTGCATCCATTCACTGGCTGTGGATCAGAACCACTTCATCTGATTTGGGCTGGCACAAATGGGTAATTCACACGAGGGGGTTTCATCCTTGCACCGAGAATCAATGTGAGTCTGTAGTTGTAGAGAAGACTGTCTCTTTCCTCTGATGCTGAGCATACTGAGAAAGTGCAAGACGCAAGCAGGAGTGAAATGAGAATGGGGAGGCAAAAAGGCCAGAGCCTGTATATAGGCAGGAAGGGGACTGCAGAGAAACATCCCAGAGAGATGTCCTATGCAGAACCACGGAAAGTAGTTTAGAGAAATGCATTCATTAAACTTAGCTTGGCACTGAGAAGCTTTGCATTTATCAGATGTGGTCATGTAGCAGGAAACAACAAATTTCATATACCAAATTACACTGATTACATAAATTTCATTATTTTCAAATTATGTTTTTAATTCCTGTATTACTGTTATTTCATAGAATCTTCCCAAGCTGCTCCATCCATTGACATCAGATCTGCTTTCAAAAGAAGGTAACTTCAAACAGTGATCCTATGAAGCTCCTCAGTAATGGGTGCTGGTAGCATGCACAGAACTTGTACCAGTCTTGGCAGACAATTGTATCAAATACTTTAAAAATATGTTTTTGCAAATCAAGATTAAAGAAGTGGGGTTTAGGGTAGTTGGCAGTGGGTGGAATGAAATAGCTACAACACATAGCACATATGACATTAAATACTGTGAAATTACAGTGTCATTGCTTGAAGAGGAGATGGAATTTTTAAGGCAATTAAACATGTGTTTCTTTAGGGGTTTTTAAAATCATATTTTCATTTATTAAAATACTCTACCGCATGTTTCCTGAAAGTCGTCAGCTACAATATGCAAGTTCCTGGTCCCAATCCTGTACTGACTAAAAGCGGAAAGAAAAATCACACTGATTTCAAGAAGATAGAATCTGGCTTTATGTTACCTTACGGTAAAAAAGTGTGTCATAAGGCCATAATTACAGAAAAAAGTACAAATAACATATTGTAGAGGACATAAGATAAAGCATTGTGTCTTAAGTTTTGTTACCTTTGTGATAAAATAGCAATTCAAATCGATATAGAAGTCATCTTTACATTTTATGGAGAAAATTGCCTTACAAGGACAGAAATGTTCAGAATGAAAATGTTTCACAAACAGAAATTAGTGCAGTTTGTTAATTTACACATGCAAGCAAAGCTGTGATTCAGAAGTAACTTCTTTTATTTAGAGGGATTTGATTTAAAGAGTAAATGCAAAAAATATTACATTCAAAGTGCATTCCTTTCTTGAGCACATTTTAAAAAAGCTGCAATAACTATTCTGCCCAAGCAGATGAGGATATCTGAATATTTTCTGATTTCCTAGTGAATATCTTGCATGCAAAATCTAAAATTAAATATTGGCATCATTTGACTTAACATTTGCAGGATTTTGCCCTTTTTACAAATATTAAGGGCATTTCTTTTGTCTATATGTGCTTTATAATAAGGTGTTACTGCTTAAGGCCACATTGTAGAAAGAAATGCACCTTCACAGGACTGTGATTCTATCTGTAAAAATGCACAATGTACTTTTTCTTCTTTTTTTAACTGATTTCTCTCTTTGTTTAGAGAAAGGTTAAATCTTAAGTGTAGTGCTTTGCAATCACTATTTGACACAGCTGTGCATTGTTAAAAGCCCCACCCAGCAATGCAAATCTTTGTTTTAAATTCATAGCAAAAGATCAGCACAAGCCCTTTGTTTTTATATGCATAGGCTATGGAAGTGAAAAACAAAGCTCATTGTGTTGACTAGCTCACATTTATTTGTGTTACTGAAATCTAACACAAATCTTGGCAAATTTATGTATGCAGTTACAAAAATTTGTCATCAAAGTATAATAATAAGCAATACAAACCTTTGTGTTATTTTTCACAAGTGCCTAAGGAAACATAATTTGTGTGAAAAAGAATACAAGTTTGTGTTGATTTTATACCATTATTTGTGTGTCTGGACAGTGTTGAGTATATGAGACATGTAGAGCGTTTGCAATGTGTGTTGTCTAAGTCTTCCTGTATTAAACAAAGATTTGATCTTTTTCTATTAATAACAGCGGTGATGGACAAGACGATGCAGGAGAACTTGACTTTAGTGGTCTCCTGAAACGTAGGTGAGAACCAAGTGATGCAGTGAGCAGGTGTGGATTGCAAACCATTAGGTTCGCACACAGAAAGAGTCAGGTGTAGCATTAATAACTTAAGAATTTTCTGACATTTCTTTTTTTTTTTTCAATGTTTCTAACTATTGTTCTCATAGTATAATATGCAAATATTCAGTTAAGTACCTTTAAGTGTGCGGAAAAGAAACCTCAGATTTGTCTACACTGGGAAAAAAGTGAGCCACATCCTAAAGAGGCCAATAACATTTAGTTTACTTGCTATTTCTTTTGTGTTTGCATGGAGAGTAGAGGGGCACAATTTCCTACACAGGGATGAGCAGTTCAGAAAATCGAGTCTGGTGCAAGAGTAAAAAACTGCAAGGGTTACATTTACTTCTTTGGGTACACCTTAATTTGATTTTATAAGCATTCTTGTATGGAAAATCAAATCTCATGCTTTCATACCATAGACATCGGTATTAACTCTTCGTAGCTTTCTGTTTCAATACGTGCACACAAATGTTCAATGGTGTTTTATTCAACTTAAATGCTGTGATGGAAAAAAAACTTGTGCACGTGTTTGCCTTGAAAATCTGGTGTTATGATAGTTATGCCTCTAGCTATTTCAGAACTTAAACGCAGTTTAGTCTTTTAACAGGTTAAGACAAGATAGTTAGTTTGTCATTTTTTTTAAATCTATCACAGAAATTCTATATGCCATGGAAATCAATGGCAACTGACCACAGATAACTGGAAATGGAATGAGATCCTTTATCTCATCTACCACTTACTCTGAAAGAGGAAAACCCAATAGGTAGTATTAATTACATTAAAAGTTCACAATGGGCTCATGGGCTATGATGGTGAGGATAGTATCTAAGCAACTAAAGCAAAGAGGAAAGGCTGAAGGTAAAAGTAGGCAGTGAAAGAATTACCTGAACCAGTTCAAACCCACCAAGTTTTTGGTTTTCTAATCTTCTCATCCCTAATTAGGATCTTCAGTTTGACTTTTATCATACTAATACAACTTACTGTAACAGTTCTCATGACTGCCTGTGGGGTGTTTTATTAACAACAGGAGAGTTGCATGTAAAAGGTCTCGGTGTTTTTGCGGAAAGAGAAATGTGATTTAAGTCATTATCACTTCACTAACAAGTAACTCACATGTTTTGTAAGATACTGTATAGCCATATAAACATAGTACACCTATTCTGTGGTTAATGGGCAAAGTAAACTTTCAGTTTTTAAACACTGTTATTTGATATTGTTCAAATCGGTTCATCAGCTCATTGCTTTGGGCACTGAAATGCAACCCCTTACTTCTGAGCTTAATTGAATAAGATTGCTAATTAAGCCCCAATGACGATATTAACATCCATTTTTATGAAGACAAATACATGTTTTAATTTCAATTTTTTCAAGAGGCAATGTTGCAGGTGCACTCCTTCTCTTCTGTATGGTTATATTACCAAGGAAAGAGCTAGAACTTTTCACCTGTGGTGCATAGTACTTGAAACATGTTTTTAAAAAAAAGCCTAAATGCATAAAATCGATATACTGCCTATTTTCTAATTTCGTGCTGGTCTTGCAGGAAGACAAACCAGTTCTTACCTCAGTAAGCCACTTGTGACTTATGCTTCATAAATGCAATGGGTCAGTAACAGCATGAAATTCCAAAAGGCACAAGATCTCAAAACCGCTCAAACATTTAGGTCCATTTTTTTTAAAACTACATCTTTCAATGAAATGCACATTTTCAGGGAAAAGGTCTGAGAGCAATTTTGTGCAGATGTCAGTCTGCTTAGGAAACACCAAGCATTGTTTGCCCACTATCCACAACACAAACTATGGTGGTCTCAGAACAAAGTTGGTTTGCTCTGTCAAAATCTCTTCTCCAGTTACGCAAGAGGAAAAAACAGTCTGGAATTAATTATTTCAAGCTGGTTGAAAATCAGGATACTCTAACTGAGCCTCATTCTCAACTACTCCCTGATTTAAAGGGGTACACTATCTTGATTCCCATGGAGCGTACCTCTCCTTAACACGGACAGGGGTTGCGTGGCAAGCAGCCAGCCCTGGGAGAGGAGAATGCCACCCCATGGGGTCTGTCAGCTTTTAGATGTGTTTGCAAGCTGATCTCGACTTGCCGCCATGCAGAAGGAATCTCACTGAAACGCCAGTGTTTGCTGTACATAGTCACCCTTCAGAAAGCATGGGCACAGACAAAAGTAGAGAAACATAAAATTACATACCTGAGATTGTCTAACAACACTTCTAAGATAACTATGTAAGTATTTCAAAGACCTCTCAGTGAAAAGATTTTTCCCTTTCAAAATAACACTGGTTTATTATGAAAATTAATAAACCTCATGGATTAAATAGCAAAGTGGCTTACCATAGTTCCTCATCCAACCAGGCAGAGATTCTCAGGGGTGCTTAGTGCTATTTCTGTATGTGTTAAAGAAAATTCTCTGTCAGACTTGATAGGGATCAGCTCTAACTGTCTCACTCCAAAGTTCAGTCTTTTTTTATTTCTCAAATGTTTATTTTCTCACTCTGTTATAAAAAGTACTGATTTTGTTAGACCAACTAGATCAAATCAGAACGATCCTGGTCTGATCCTAATGAATTTACAGGAAAAAGATATCTAGATTTCTGCTCCAATTCCTGGATTGTTCTAGCAGTTCACTTTTTTGAGCTAAGCTGTCAATCTCAAAAATTATCATTTTGTTTAGGATGCTTCCATTGTTCCCTCATTTAATGGCTCCCATTGTGAAAATAATTATACTTCTCTTTATTGGTTGTCTTAGCCTGGAGTTGCAGATAGTAAATATGGTATTGAAACTTCTGTATAAAGGTGATGCTATTCACACAGGCCTCTGAAAACACTTCCTGCTCTTAAGACTAAGATAAACATGGAAGCCAACAGATTCATCTCGCAAGTCCAAGCTGGTGTGGAAATCTCCAGTTCCTATCCATATGCCAACTTTAAGTAACTCTGAGAAGCACTGGTGTAACTATATACAGACCCAGATTCCTTTGGATTTCAACATCCTTTCATTGGCCACCGCTAGTAGCAGTTACAGGGACTCAGGGTTTGAAAGCATTTTTATGTAATTATAAAATATATGGATTAGATTTAGATCTCAGTGATGCCATCGTAAATTGTAACTGATTCTACTCAAGTTACAACAGATAAAACTGATTTAAGTGAGGTTACCCCATATGCTATTATAGCACTACTTTTCAAACTGTATTTTTTTAAAATAATGAAGTCACATAAAAACTCTCATAACTGATTACATCAGAAAAAGCCAAATTAAAACTTATATCCAAACTCTGCCTTGAAAACGTGTGAAGTAAAGTGTGAATGTCATTCTGAGCTATTCCACTAGTACTGAGTGAAATAAAAAAATATGATGGTGGCTTTCAAATTTTGACCAAAACATTTCTAACCTCACCATAGATTCAGCTTCACCTTTTTTTATGGTGCGATAAAGCCTTGCTAACTCTTCTCCCATAATTTTGTTTTGCTACTGTTAGGGAGATTAAACAGCAAGAGGAAGAACCTCAGGTAGATGTGTGGGAGCTCCTGAAGAATGCAAATCCCAGTGAATATGAGAAGATTGCTTTTCAGTATGGAATCACTGACCTGAGAGGCATGTTAAAGCGTCTGAAGCGCATGCGCAGGGAAGTGAAGAAGAGTGCAGGTATGGATAAGGCAGAATAGTCTTATCTTCAGTAGTCAGATGTGAGAGTCCACCTTAAAAACCCAAACTTGCTTCATTTCCATGTAAGAGGCCTTGCACACTACAACTCAAGCCTTATTACTGCAAGCAATTAATCAGAAGTGGTTAGCGTAAACACCTTATCCATTCAGAGCTTGCCAAAGGCGTTCCTCCCTCTTGGCCAGACAGTAGTTTCAACTGGAACAAAGTCACCCAGTTATGTGGAAAGGTGTTACCTGATCAAACAACATGGAAATTAGACCTTGTGTTATCATTAATATCTTTTTAATAAATAGATATGTGTTCATATGTATGTATATATATATATGTGTATATAAAATATATGTGTATGTTGCATAATACACAGGCACACATACAAATACAACACACTATACATTATTGTGACATTTGCTTGTTCCTGGAGGGCATTCCAGAACTGGATGCAATATATACATCTCCTGTTCCACGAGTTTCCTGGAGGAGCCCCTCTGGTGTACTTGAAATCCTCCACAATTCCAGTTGTAACCCAGCCACCTGATATACCCTCTCTCCTCACCCATTACCTCACATCATAACATGTGCTATGTTACTACACATTAATTTTTATTTATATTTTTCATTTGCTGGTATGTCTGATTCTGACAACAGTTGACGGAGGGAGTAATGGGGTCGATGGGCTTTGGCTGAGCCACTAGGGCAGCTTCTTTATCCAGTGGAGCTCTGTAAGGGGTGAAAGCCCAGGGAAACCCCTCACCTTCCCCCAGGAGTCTGGAGCAGGGCTGGAAGCTGGGACAGGAATTGCATGGCTGGTAGGAATTGCTGCTCCCTACTCAGATGCATCATGTGGAAGTGCCTGGATGTTTTACTGGGAAAAAGGCATCTCTCAGCACCTGGGACCAGTCTGTCTAGTCCCTCTCTCCAGTTCCCTGTTGAGTAGGATGGAGCTGCCAGCCTTATCAGGATTTTTCAGTGGACAGGGTTCTCCCTACAGGGGGAGCTCTAAATGTTGGGGAAAATAGCTGTAGTAGTGACAGGATGAGAGTAGGGTGTTCTTCCCCTCACACCACCTTTATTATAAATTGGAAACTTTTACACTGCAACAAGATACATAAAAAATCCTTTTCAGATTTAATAACTCTACTCCTCCTGTGTCAATATATTCAGTCTCCTGCAATCAGACATATGCGTAATATAAACCTTACCAGAAACTGATTACTTAGCTGTGGGCAATTTGTTTGAGGCACCATTTATTTATCTATTTTTGAGCCACAGATATCTGCTCCCAAGGGTCTAATTTTTGTGGCTGGCACTATCTAAATGTTGATGTTAAAATGTTTTGAAATGTTTGAATTGCACCTTGCCCAGAACAACTTGGCCTACATTTGCACATGTCAAAGAACCTTTTTGAAAAGCTGCATTAGGATTCACAGAATGACAACTTTTGCCTGGTTTCAAATATTTTTGCAAATGTTTCACAGCTGTAACATTTATCACAAGTGGAACTGCAATGTACAACTTGCAGTCTATAGAAAGGATCAGGAAGGCTAATTTGGCTTTAAGACAAACCAATGTGTTTATTCTGATAGTGTGAAGCTCAATAGGAATTTTAGCCTAAAATTCCCAGTTAACTTGCATGGCAGTGTTAATAGAGAAGTCCTTTGTAACAGATTCATTTTAAATGATTCCATGGCACCAGCTGTATACCATTTTATTTTGACATAGCACTTCTCAGCAAGCTGTCAGAGCAATGTCTACTGAATCCTATTCAGAATACAATCACACTGCAAAGTCATGAAGAGCTATTAGTTTGAACTTGATCAGGATAATCAGATCTACATAGCTTTGCACTTATTCTAATGTTTCTAGAAAATAAACTGATTCATGTGGACTAGCCTAAGAATATAAAGTGATGCATAACATTGTGTGCATGTATTCTTACAGCTTTGATGAGATTTATGCAATGTCATTTCAGCATTCATATTCTCGTTTTCTGATCTTCTTTTACAATAACGCTTGGCTTCTACAACAGCTTTTGCCAAAGGTCTTGATCCTGCATATCAGGTGGACAAAGGAGGTAAAGTAAGGTTCATGGTGGAGCTAGCAGATCCAACAGTGGAACTGAAATGGTATAAAAATGGCCAAGAAATACGACCAAGTGCAAAGTAAGTGGTTTTATTGTATGTAAGCAATAAAATGGGTACACACGTTCTTCCTTGACAAGTGTGTTGCATAGATCTATCTTTTTGCTCAGGTTGCACCAATTTTATTTCTGAATTTCATTATATGTGAAAAGTATGCAATTGATGCTATATTGCACAAGGCACAACAATGTAATGTTCCTCAAATGTTTCTCAGCAGCACAAAATCCTAGCAACTTTCTCCTCTGGCTCTGTGAAAAAATAGTAATTGGCAAAAGCTCTCTTACAGAGAAAGGGCAGATTTCCTTCATTCTGTTACTGCATAGTCAATGAAGGATTTCAATTAATGTTCATAGTTGACAAAAAAATGCCTAATAAAGAGGGTACCTTTTCTTTAGCCCCTATATCTGCCATGAGCAATTCAGAACTGTTCTGCAGGCAGCTATATGGATACCTCTCCAGTGCATTTCTTCCAGGCTGCTGAAGCAGCTGTCTGATGCTAATGAGTTTTGGTCATTACAAACCTGGAGCAGATCTAAACTGGTGACATAAAGGTGAAAGGCTCCATATCCCATTACCAAAACCCCATATTCGATTACTGATCTCTTGTGCCATCTGGCCTACCGATAATACTAACTTCTTAACTTTGGCTATTATTATACTTCCCAAAAATGTTAAGAGTGTTGGAATGAGGATGGTGTCCTGTTACCAGTTATTTTAATCTTCACTTGTCTAGAGTTTCAGACTCCATTTTATTTGCCATCCTTCAGACCCTGCTCATTTTTTTTATTTTTTCATATCACCCAAGCCTGGGATTTTGGAACAAGCCAGAAGATGCTCGTTGTCACTCTACACCATAGCTCTTTTTGCTAAAAAGTCTATGACAGTTCTGTTGAATCTTGGAAACTGCTTCCCAGGACAATTTTTCCAGTTCTATGTAAAAAACAGGATTTTCGCCTCTAATAATCCCCAAAGCAACTTTCTACATAAAACAAAAGGGGTCCAGCAGTTTTGCTAATGTATCTTTCCTGCATTCCTGTTCAAACAGATACATTTTTGAGCACAAAGGTAACCAGCGAATTTTATTCATCAATAATTGTACCATGACAGATGATGCTCGCTATTACGTAACAGCTGGTGATGAGAAATGCTCCACAGAACTGTTTGTGAGAGGTAACTACATCAGCTTGCTCCTGTTTCACCCGCTGTAAATTGGTGTGGCTTCTTTGGCTGCAACAGAAATTAACAGGGAGTATCTGGTTCAGTATATATTTGTACTTGTATTAGCAGCCCTTAGGATCACTCTGTATTTCTGTGATCCCTGACCATTTTTTCCCTCATCCTGTATTTAGTGATTTAGTGAAAACCCTGAAATGGGGATATGGTTGATTTCATACTGTGTATTGGGACCTAGTGGGGCTGTGGTCCCTTTCATAGTTTTAAGGCCATTTTGGAGACTTGTTTGTCATAGCATTGCCTTTCCCTAACACCACACTTAGGTACCTGATGGCCCTGATACTCTTGGTCCAACTGATCTATTTCAAGTAGCCTCAGATCAGGCTTTCTAGCAGTTAGTTTTCATTCCATCTGCAGAGATTTAAAGGAAGACTCTATCAAAAGCTATGAATGAGTGGCCATTTCTTCACCCTTTTTGTGCCCACAGTGTTGATAGTCTTACTGATAATACTCATGGTATTACTCACACATGCACAACCAAACAAATGGAAAAACAAAACTTGCAGTGAGAGAAAAAAATCATCAAATATTTCAGAAAGCTAATTAAAATAACGGACCCCATTGCCTCTATAAATATCATAGGATAACTGTTGTACAATCTCTTGCTATTAAATAAACTTGAGTTTTCACA